TAGTGACTCTCTTTTAGCCACCACAGTTAGGCAGAGAAACCCTTACAAAATCTCTTCCACCTACCTAGTGCTATAGAGGATTGTAATTCTTTTTACCCTCCAGGAGATGGTAGAGAACCTCAGATCCTTTTCACTCTCTAGGTGATGGTAGAGAACCACTAATCTTTTTATCGAAAGAGAACCTTAAATAACTTTCACCTTCCCCGGTGTGACAGAATAATTGGGTCCTTTGACACATAGGAGATCTTCTTCTTCCCAAAACATCCCTAGAAAAGAAACCTTGAATATGATGGTACTAAGGTGCAAGCTTATCGGAGTAACTGTTTGAAACCCCACTCCACACTCCCTTGAACCCACAAGGATTTTCTCACTCTCAAACTCTACCCTTTCCTCTCTCCCTTTCAAGGCTCTCTCTTCAGGTTTTCTCCAGAAGAACAGAGACTTGATGCATGCCAAAGATACTTACCAAGTGTATTGATAAAGCTTAAATAGAGGGCTTTTTAAAAACCCTAAAGATTTAATTTTGTCGTCAAAGATCATCTAGTATGATCATTAGATTATCTTGTATAATTAGTATAAAATAGCCCTTACAAATAATACAAACATACTTATCTTGTACGATCAGTTCAAGTGTTTGTATTGATCATCCAGTATGATTAGTAGAAAAAGAATGGTCTTCATCTTGTACGATAAATGGTGATCCCTTATTGTCCCATACATATTCTCTATCATACATTATGATCATCATCAATCATCTTGTACGATCGGGTCGAAGAATTTTATCATAATTTTTCTCTTAATCAAAGGATTAATTTAGACATGATTATCATCAATCATCCAAGATGATGCAGATCATCTTGTATGATATGAATAGATTTTGGATTATAAAATCTTTCTTAAATTATGATTGGAGGCTGATTTCTTAATCATAACTGATCGTCCTGTATGATATATGTCATACAGTACCATTAGTAAGATATGTTAATTATATAATATCATATAAATTATACAGTATGATTAGTTCAAAATTTAAACTTTCGGTTTTGACTCAATCTCACTCCCCCTGAGTGTGTGGGTGCATGGTCACCAAGCTAGCATACACTCTTATAGAACTTGACTCAAGAAATCAAAAATATATTAATGAATATTACAAAAATCTTTATAATATAACATATTCTACCTAATCTTAAGTCTTGAATATTTGTTGGATGGTGTATGGTATTCTTGAAATATTATCACACACACACACACACACACACACACACACACACACATAAATATATATTGCAAATACAAGTTGACACAAGGTTATGGACCACAATGTTTTTTTTCATCAAAAATATAAACTCGTGAGCTTGAATTGTAACACAAGTAGTAGTAGTAGTAGTAGTATTAAGCTCTTTAATTTTGTTGTAGTTCCCTCTAATTTTGATCTTTACATATAAAAACCTGAAATTATCCTCTGCTTGGGATAACCATTTTTCTTTAGGCCTATGCTTAATCTGAGAACACCAAGAAGCGACACAAGTAAAAAACACTTTCATTACAGGCAACCAGAGAACCATTCAAATCAAGATTAGATAAATCATTGTTGAGAATAGATAAGATGATGGCTTATTTATATTTAAAATTTTCCAAGGTGGCTTCTAATAAATTGGAAGATGACTAATTTTCAACTTAATAGTAATTTTTAGGGATTACAATTATTTGCTCAAAAGGGAGATAAGATTACCTTATTTCTTCATAGATAGGATATTTACCAAAATCATCCCTAATTGAGACAACTACATCCAGTAGGATTTAAATAAAAATCTATGCTTAGGATGGCCATCTAATTGAGGTAGCAAAAGAAAGGGGAGTGCTCCGAATAGCTAGGAGCTTCCACTTTGTAATAGGACAAAAGAAACATATCAAGCTAGTGAGTATTCACACCGAGATTAATATGAATAGGGTTGTATGTACATTGGTTGAACCAAGTGTTAATATGTCCAACCAAACCTAAATCGTTCAAACCAATTTCAAAACTCATACCATTCAACTCCAATAACCTACTGTTTTGTAAAGGGTTACCACCCACTTTATCATGAAAAAAACTATAGAAATTATGGTCACCCAAAAGAATCCAAGGTGATTTTATGTTGATGGCCAAGGTTTTTATCTCATCCCAGAGAAATCTCCTTTCCTCCAAAGCATTTGAATCATAAAGCATTGAAAGTTCAAAAAAGATAACGCTATTATAAGAGACAGAGCCATGGATTAACTTACTAGAAATGAAGGTGGGTCTAAAAAAGATTGAGGAGGAGTTCCATTTGATCCAAACCCCACCCATAGGAGAATGATCAAAGTAGTGTACACTATCCTCCTTAACAAATAACTTGTTATTACTGCAAAACTAGGGGAATCAAGAGAACTCACCGGCACCTTGACCTCCAAAATACGCATCATTTCCAATAAAAAGTCTTGATGTGCTTCTTAGCATAAAGAAATTTATCAGAATTATTAAAGCCCCTAATATTCCAGGAAGCTATCCTAGGATAGGAAATTTAGATTTGGAAGAATGATTGTGTGAATTGTTGGCACTTTTGGATCGAGAGTTTTTGGACACCTGTGAGTGGTCAAAAGTTGAAACATTTGTATGGTTTAAGATAATAACATTAGTAGAAGAATTATAAAGGAAGTCTAACTTGTTATGGAGATGAATAATGGAGGAATGGGAGGAGGGGGATTTAGTTGTGGTAGGTGAAGGAGAGTTAGAAACACTGCCATCAGAAGAATTAAGGTTTCAGATTGCCCCCGTTTGGTTAGGCTGAATATCAGCTTGAAAAATAGACATATTTGTGGAAGTTGTAGCTAGCACAATAATAGATGTCTAAATGGGTGGTAAAACTGGTGAGGGTCCCATGAGACTTGAGTTTAAGTAGCAATTGGAGCGATTATTATGTGGAGACAAGGAGCTTGGCCCTACAGAAGAGTTGAATAAAGGTAGGTTAGTGTGTGAATGTTGGATTGTGGTATCTTCGGGAGGAGTAATCTGACCTGAGGAGCGACTTTTATTGCATCCACGAGGAGGAGCAATAAAGCCATAAAGGCCAAATTGCTATGAGATTGATCGATGTGCTCTTTCTTGGGACAAAGAGATTGTGTGTGGGAAAATGAGCCACATACATCCCAAGCATCATGTTTCCACTAATATTGTACATTCTGATTAATGATTTCATTCTCAGCAGTAATAGAAATAACATTAGGCAAACACAAATTTATTTGAAATTTGACACAAACACGGGCAAACATTAACCAAGATTTCTCATCAGTTAACTTATCAACTGTTACAGGCGACCCTATTGCACTTGCAATCTTAGATAAGCCTTCTGGATTCTAGTAAGGAAGCGTAATATAAATTTTTTTACCCAGATCTAGACCTTAGAGCATTCTTCCCGTGTAGGCCTGAATAGTATTTTTGAAATAAGAAAGGTCGACCAAGAAAACACGACGGACCCCTTGTCCAGGCTAAGTAATAATCTTCTTGATTTAAAAAGTTTAGCAAAAAGAATCCCTCATAAGAGAAAGCATCTTCATGTTACCCTTCAGGGGCCAAGATTTCTTAATGATAACCAGCAAAGCTTCGTAGTAGGGCCTACAACCTAAGGAATAGTCGACAAGACTCATGCTCCATTCGGTAGTGCCTTTTTGGAACTCCGAAGAAGAAAAGGAAATCACCTTTATACCTGTCAATTTTGGGTCACGGGTCGGGTTCGGGTCGAACCCCGATTGACCCGGTAATATCCGGGTTCGAGTCAACCTGACCCGTTTTTGTAAACGGGTCGATTATCCTAAACCGAACCCGACCCGCTTCAGCTTCGGGTCAACCCGACCCGACCCACGGACTTGGAAGCGGATCGACGGCGGCTGCAGCAGAAGCCTCGCCGCCGCTGGACTTTGCGCGCCTGAGTGGCCTCCTCACCTGGTGACGCGCGGACACGGTGACGGCGTGAATGGACTTTGCCTGGGGACGCGACCCGCGACCGTCGGGCAGGCTAGCCTCAGTGCAGGCGGGGCAGGCGGCTCGAGGCAGCGCCGCAGCGGATGCTGGGCAGCGGACGCGGGCAGCGGGCAGTGCGGGCTGGGGCAGCGTGCAGCTCGGGCTGGGGCAGCGGACAAAGGCGGGAATCAAAATTTTTTAAATTAAACTGGTTTTCGGGTTGACCCAGCAACCCGTCGGGTCAACCCGAACCCAACCCGTTTTTGCAAACGAGTCGGTTTCCCGGACCCGAACTCGACCTGCTTCGGGTTCGGGTCAACCCAAACCCGAAAATTCCGGGTCGAGTTTTCGGGTCGAGTCAAATATTGACAGGTCTAATCACCTTGTCTTGAGGAGGAATGAAGGACATTGAAAACTCTTTTACCACAATATTTCAATCGGTAAAAAAATCTATCTAGTTGTGAGCAAAGGAAGGAGGATAAGAATGACCATGAAGAGAAGAGGGGGAAGGCATGTGCAAGGGAAGTGAGGCAGGAGCCTCCCCGGAGCTTCAAACCTTGAGAGGCACGAGAGTAGTGGCGGCTAGAGTGAAACCCATTTAGAGCACGAGCTTTCACTTTAAATTTTTGCTGCTGTTCTTATTTCAAATTTCTTCAATTATATTATGCTTGAATTGAATTTTATCATTGCCTAGATTAAAACTATTAGTTAAGTGTTTTGTTATTTTATTAAAACAATCAAATTGATACATTGTAATAACCAAATCGTAGTTTATGTAACTTTTTATATTTAAAATAACATACACTTGCGATTTGTCTTTTTTTGCAGCATCCCCATCACCTGTAGCAGAATAATCAACATAATTTACTGCCAAACATTCCCATCCTTCGATCATTTCGTTGACTTCCAAATCCAAATAAAAAAAACAACAATATCCCAATAAAAGGGCTAACAAACTACACAAACGCGCCGAAGGAAGTGGGAAGAACAACATTATTTTTCAAAAACAAAACAAGCATCGCTAAATCTGCTTGCTAGTGCAGGGAGGCAACGGCGAGCCGCAGAGACATTTGTTGTGAAAATACGAATCCACCCCAAACATAGCCGTGATCGGCCCAGCCGGAATCTCACCACAAAGCCGGTTATAACTCACGTTGAACACAGGAAAGTAATTCGGGTCCACCTGGTTTATCTGAGCCGGTATCGACCCTGTAATCTTATTATGATTCAGATCTAAAACCGTCAAGTTCACCGGAAACGTAACCCGGCTAAGATCAAACGCGAACTCATTCCTGCTCAAATCAACATACCGCGTCGACTTCCCCGCACCAAATAAAAAAGATGCGTCGCCAGTCAAATTGTTCCGGCTCAGATCTATTTTACCCCATACCGGCACGCCGAGGGAGACCGGTAAATCGCCGGAGAGGTTGTTGTGGTTTAGAATGAGATCCGGTGGGGAGGATTTGTTGAAATTGCCGAATTCAGCTGGGATCGATCCGGTGAGGCGGTTGCGGGAGAAATCAAATAGTTGGATGGAAGGAAGCTTGGCAAGTTCAGGGGGGATTGAGCCGGAGAATTTATTGAAAGAGAGGTCAACGTCTGTGAGAGAGGGGATTTGGGAGAGGAACGAGGGGATGGGGCCCGAGAGAGAGTTCCAGGAGAGGAGGAGGTAAGAGAGGCGGGTGAGACGGGTAATGAGGGATGGGATGTTACCGGTGACATTGGGGAGTTTGTGGAAGCTTAGAGTGGTGAGGAAAGGGAGGTCGCCAACAGAAGGGGGAATGGGGCCGGTGACATTGGAATCAGTGATGACGAAGAGGGAAGTAACGCGAGAGCTGTCGGAGACGCCGGGGTCGCATTCGATGCCGTACCATTCACAGCATGCGGAAGAGGATGTCCAGGAGGCGAAGTGGTAGGCGTTGTTGAATGCAGATTTGATGGAGAGGAGGGCACGTTTGTCGTACTTGTTGCATTTATCGGCAGCAATGAGGAATGGAAGGAAGAGGAGGAGGTAGATGATGGTGGAAGACATGATTGCTATGTATGCTGCTTGATTGATCGCGTGAGGCTCGGTATTTATCGGATAGTAAGTGCGTCGAAGAAGCGAGGAGATCGTATATTGCTTCACGTCGCTGTTGGGTCAATGGTCAATACCGGCAGGAGCGTCAGCTGGGTTGTATGGCATAACATCTTTACAGCACATGGGATTTGAACGAGTGTACAGTAATAGTACGAACGCCATAATTCCGAAGGACGAAAAAAAAACAAAGTAAACTTTTAAAGTAAGCATACTTAAATTTTGTATTATGAGTTTAAGTATATTTTAAAATAGATTAGAATAAGGAAATGTTATCCGTTCAAGCCTTCAAGGCGGCTTAAGCTTTAATCTGGCAGTCAAACGTTCAAACTTTTTTTTTTTTGGGAAATTTTAGGGGAATAGCCCATTTCATTGATGTAAAATTACAAGTAAAATGTAAAATAAAATGCAGAAATAAAACTAAAACTGAAAGCTCAGAACAAAACGAGCTAACATAATACAATAAATCGGAACAAAAAGTGCCAACGGGGCAGGGCCTGAAGGCAAAGTTGCCCTATGCTTCTATCAACTCATAAAGCCACGCTGTCAGGTTTGAACGTTTGAGATGTTTATTAAATATAAAATGGGCGTTCAGCAAACTATATTTAATAAACACCTCAAACGTTCAAACCTGATAGCGTGGCTTTATGAGTTGATAGAAGCATAGGGCAACTTTGACCTCGGTAAAAGGAGCAATTATTACGTCAGGTCATCTAGCACGTTCAGAAATCAATAATCACGTGTCATGTCACCTAAAAATTAATATTGAACACTCGATATTGCTCAATATACGAGCGAATTTTTGGTTTTTTATCTTTTTTTTTTAAGAATTTTCGGTTTTTTTTTCGGGACATAATAATTACTCCAATAAAAGACCCACCCGGTTCTTTCCTTCTGCTCCCTCATTTGAATTCTTTTGCCGCTTGTTGGTGCCCCACATCGCCGTTTCTTTTCATGCTACGAGTGCGTCGGTAAGTAATTTATAAATAAGTAATTTATGACGTACTATCTAAGATTTGAAATATTTTGGTGAGTTTTGTTTGATATTGTTTTATATATATCTTTAAAAATTAGTATAGGTATTTTTTTGAGATGTAGAAAACTGTTAATTTATATTTAAGTAGAAAAACTTTTGGCGAACATACAAGTTACTGCTCTTGTGTTTTATGCATACATTGATATAATTTGATTTGATCTTGTATTTGTATTATAGAAAGACAATTCTTATAGCCATAAAAATTGCTCTTTAAATGATTTGTTTTCATTAATTGTTTTATGTACTACTACAAATTTAATGATTTTTAAAATAAACAATGTTTATTTTTAAATTATATCATATGTTAAAGGATTAATTGATAAATACATAACTATATTGTTATTTATATAACCTATAAAATGACTTAAAGAAATAATTATGGCGATTTTTAAATTATGTAAAAGGTAGATTTTGTTGTAGTAAATTAGTAATTGGTTCCGGAATTATAAGTTTCTTAAAACTAATGTTTAAATCAATAATTATTTAGATTAAATCTATGTAATTTATTTATCTTTTTTAGCGAAACATGCCGGTTCATAATTATCGGATGAGGAGCAAACTTTATGTTAATGTATAGAGGTGAATTTGAATTGGGAAAATTTTTAAATTATGTATTATTAAAAATTTAATAATGCAATAAAGTATTGAAAAAAATAATTAAGTAGGCAAAGTCGCCCATCAAACGGACGACTTATGCTAACTCAGACTTGTTAAGTCATGTTCCAGTAACCAAAATGATATGCGACTTCTTCAAGAAAAAAAATTACTATCATAAGTTGCATGTTAAACAGGCAACTTGCTACAGTAAATTCTGAAAGTAAATTTAAAAATAAAATAAGTGAAAAATATATTAAATAAATATAATTGAAATTTAAAAAAAAAAATAGAGAAAAAAAAAATATAGAGTTATAATATTTACTTTCGAAACCTGTGTTTAAGGAAAAACTTTGAATCATTGTTTTTTTTTTCTGCCTTATTTTTTGGTTTAACGGCTATCTATTAAAAATACCAATTACAAATTTAATACTGTCAAAATAAATAAAATTATCAAAAGTTTGATGAATATATATTTTAAAATATTAACTTCTATTAAAATATAGAAATTATAGTTTACATTAACATTATATTTTTTTGTTTTTTTTTTTCCTCTATTTTTTATTTTTAATTATTTTTAAAATATATTTATTTAATATATTTTTTACTTAATTTATTTTTAAATTTTTTTTTAAAATTTACTGTAGCAAGTAGCCCGTTTAACGAGCAACTTACAATAGTAATATTTTTTTAAATAAGTCGTATGTTAGTTTGGCAAATGAGACATTACTCAGCAAGTCTGAGTCAGCATAAGTCGCCCGTTTTATGGGCGACTTTGCGTATTCTTAATTTTTTTTTTTATACTTCATTACAATATTAAAATTTTAATACTACCTAGTTTAAAAATTTGTCCATTACAATTTGATAAAAAATTTGTGGCAATGTAGTATGGGAGTATTAATCATCTTGTGCAAGTGCCAAAAAACATCAACTTATGCCAGCTTAAGTTAAAGATCCTCAGAGCACTCAAGTATGATGCATCTAAGTTTTCAGTGAACTTTGTTTTTCAACTGCCTATTGGGAATGAGTTCGTCACTTCACATGTTGAAGATGATGAGATGTATGAAGTTCTATTATGTCAGGCTACTATGGAATTACTTATCATGTACATGAAAGTTGAAGAGTTGAGTGTGATAAGAAATAATATTGAGCATCTAACTTCCAAATAAATGATTTTTCAACCCTAGGTGAAAGGTTTGAAGTGCTTTACAGTCCTTCAAGGCTCCAAGCAAAAAAAGAGTATATTGACCAATAAGTTGCCCATAAAGCATGTCATTATTTGCCAAATATATAACTTTTTCATTGATTAGTAAGTAAATTTGTACGGTTTAAATGTAGTGATAAGAAAAGCCAATGATGGCAGGAAGATTCTGGCACTTCAACACTATCACTCCCTATTGTTGATAATGGTTACGAAGCTATAAGTAGTGAGCCTAAAGAGCAAGGTTTTGATGATGCAAATGATTTATTACTAAATTTGAATGAATGAGATGAAGTGGTAATTAAGATATATGTAATGTCATCCTAAATTATTTCTCCAGATATATTGATAGTAAGAATTTAATGATTACCAATAATAACTATGCTGACACTTGTAGGACTACACAATAGTGTGATTAGGAAGTTGAGTTTGAGGATGTCTCTAGTGAAATAGACATAAATTTATGATTGACTATACAAAGCTTGATTATTCGGTGTCTCCTTACCTATCGCGGTTACATTCTACTCTAAGTAAATGTTTAGGCAACATATGTTAAACAACAACATACGTGTGCCACTCCAATTCAAATCTCTATGTACTCATTGGGGTATTACACATCAATACTCTCGTCCTTGCACCCCATCCCAAATTGGTGTTGCTGAATGCTAACACCGACATATATTAGAAACTATTCGTAGTTTTCTAATTGAAGTTAGCCTTTCTCCTTCTTTTTGGGCTGATGCCTTACATATTATTGTTTACCTTACAAATAGATTGCCCACACCTATTCTTAAAAACATCAATCTCTACACTAAACTTTATCACAACACCCCGTCTTACTCTCATCTCAAAATATTTGGATGTCTATGCTACCCTTGGCTTCGTCCCTACACTAACTACAAATTATCACCCTTATCTCTTCCTTGTGTCTTTATTGGATATGCTCATGCTAAAAAAAATTGCAAATGTCTCAATCCTACTACATGACAAATATATACATCTAGACATGCTATCTTTAACGAAGCAATTTTTCCCTATAATCAATCTCACAAACTCACTGATCCTACTTCTACCTCATGGTCCTCACAGTACACACCACCTTTACTCCTTGTTCCAACACCAGGACATTCAAATTCCAACTCTAATCCTTCCCCTTTTCAGAACATTCCTGATGCTTCTAATTCATCTCATGCATAGTTATCTTTATTATTGTGATGCCCCAGATATTAATAGTGAAAGGATTCGTCTGACATTCTGATCGAACTCCATTCCAGTTGTCTTGCTCGGACCTGAAAATTTTAACCACATATAATGAGCTTACAAGCCCAGCAGGTCACCAAAGCCTACAGCTGAAATCAAAGCACGGCGATGCTATTAATATGCAGGTCAATCAAATCAAGTCAATCAATGGTCAATGAGTCTATGCAATGCGGAAATCCATAGTCAATGAAATCAGGTCTGCACAGAGGAAATCAAATCAGTAGTCAATGCAGTACAGAAATCAATAATCAATAATCAATACAGTGGTAAAAATATCGATAAATCAATACGCCTCAGCAATCAAATCAATAAGTGACTGGAAGCCAATATCTATCATCGTAGCAGTGTCTATCAATCAATACTATCAGTTCAATCAATCGTGTCGTCTAGTCAATTCGTTGAATCTATATCATTTGTCTAATCAATAGAATGTCTGTGTCAATTCAATAAGGGACTCGTGTCAGAACGACACTACGACAGATTCAATAATGACGACGTACGATGCAACAATAAGAAATCATCACAATCAATAGAGCACTTTCCAGTCAATTATATCTGCCGACGGGCTTTCCTTTAAATATGGATTATGGATTTCTACAACAGCACTTTGATGGGGAGTCATAAGTGAGGTTTTTAATATGCCGACGGGCGTGTCCGACGGGCAAAAGAAGTGACGACTCTTCTTTGATTGAAACCAATGTGTGGCGGATAGTCTACAAGCAGCATATGGATTTCTACAACAGCAGCTAATGGATTTACTACAACAGCACTATTGATCATAACTAGTGTTTGTGCTTGTCGAAGTATAGACCATTGTATGGAAATGCATGGTATTCGATAAGTTGCATTCGTATGGATTTCCTGATATGCAGTTGATTTATTGATTTCGATTGATTATTGATATTGGATTGGGATTTATTGAACTGTGATTTATTATTGCAACGGATTTATTGTTTATCGATAT